TTCCTTCCCTCCTTTTTCTTTCTTCCCCTCCTTTCTTTCCTTCCTTCTCTTCATATATTTCCTCTATTTATTTCTTTCCCTCCTTTCTTTCCCTCCTTCCTTTCCCTTTGTTTTCTTCCCTTCTTTCCCTTCATACATTTCCCCTATTTCTTTCCTTCCCTCCTTTTTTTCTTCCCCTCCTTCCTTCCTTTCCCTTCGTTTTCTTTCCTTCCTTCCCTCTCTTCATACATTTCCCCTATTTCCTTCCTTCCCTCCTTTTTCTTTCTTCCCCTCCTTCCTTCCTTTCCCTTCGTTTTCTTTCCTTCCTTCCCTTCATACATTTCCCTATTTCCTTCTCTCCTTTTTCTTTCTTGCCCTCCGTTCTTTCCTTTTTTCCCTTCATATATTTCCTCTATTTCTTTCCTTTCCCTCCTTTCTTTCCCTCCTTCTTTTCTTTCCCTTTGTTTTCTTCCCTTCTTACATTTCCCCTATTTCTTTCCTTCCCTCCTTTTTCTTTCTTCCCCTCCTTCCTCCCTTTCCCTTCATTTAATCTCCTTCCTTCCCTCCCTTTATACATTTCCCCTATTTCTTTCCTTCCCTCCTTTTTTTCTTCCCCTCCTTCCTTCCTTTCCCTTCGTTTTCTTTCCTTCCCTCCCTTCATACATTTCCCCTATTTCCTTCCTTCCCTCATTTTTCTTTCTTCCCCTCCTTCCTTTCCCTTCATTTTCTTTCCCTCCTTTTTCTTCCTTCCCCTCCTTCCTTCCTTTCCCTTCTTTCCTTCCTTGATACCTTTCCTTTTTTATCTTTCTGCTCTTGTGGCACAAACATATACAAATGTAATGAATAGGGTTTTCTCCAAATTCATGTGTGTGTGTGTGTGTGTATATATATACACACACACACACACACATACATACATACAAACATACATACAGAGAGAGATCCCATTATCCCGATCTCTAAGGGAATATGGTCCCCTTTCCTGTCTTTCTCCTTTTATGACAGAAGTAACAAGAGGAGAAATCTGCAACCGCACACAGTTTTGTCATGATTTCCTATAACCCTTCACTCACATTTGAGTGATTACTTTTATTACTTAGTGTTTTCTTGTTAATGCATTTCACTACATTCCAGACATTGCGGGCACATAGTTATGGCCAACATTGCCTGTAAGTAAGTAATGTTAATTTCCGGCTCTTTTGACTACATTACATAAGCTATATCTGCATTACCCAAATAGACGTATTTACGGATTTGTTTTGTTTTTTTTAGTATGGAACTGTAACTTCTCTTTTCAGCAGAGAAATACTGCCGTTCCTGCATTTCTCGTCGCACAGCACCAAGTCTTTTCAGGCTCGGAAACTCCGTCCTTCCTCTTGGCCTTTTCTCGTTTCTTCGGCTTCTTGGGTGAAATTGTAACCGAGTTTCCCCAAGAACACCAGACATGCTGCTGGGAAATGCAAGTAACGTTCTCTTGTTTCCCATTATTTCGTAAATGAAAGTTAACTCGGGCTTGCATTCAGGAAGCACGTGGTTTTGTGGGGACATTCGGTAAAGAGAAATAAGCAAGACCATTTTGCTTGAAGTGTTGAAGCCGTACACAAATTTAAGGGGTCCTGCCTGAAGCAGGGACTGGCAGAAATCAGAAATGAGAGTCTGCTATGCCTGGCGAGTCAATAGAAGCCAGATAGAAAATTTCCCTTTTTCCCAAATAAATTTCACCAGGATGAAGCAAGGCCACCGAAGTGTATTTTCTGTTCCAGCTGGAAAGAATGACGGCTGCAGTATTCTGCTGAAGAAGCCGGCATACCCTAATACAGAGGAGTACACATTTTATACATTTTTCCTGTTTGAATTTCCCATGCCTGCCACCTGGGCCAGCTTCGCTGTGATTGGTCAGGGGAATATGGTTCCTTTTCTCATCTTTCTCCTTTGGCTGGGGACTGGTGCGACTCAGCCAATGGGAGCCCGAGCCCCGCTTTGGCTGCTCAGCCAATGGTGAGAGAGGAGGCGCAGCAGCAATAGAAACAAAGGAATAGTTGGCCGTTCTGATCACTGGGACAGAGTGACGAGAGAGGAGGCCAGGAAGATAGTTCCACCTTGTCTCCTGTGCTATCTAATAATACAATATAATATATTGTATATTAGCCATCCCCTGCCACGCGTTGCTGTGGCCCACATGGGGGTTCTGTGTGGGAGGTTTGGCCCAATTCTATCGTTGGTGAGGTTCAGAATACTCTGTGATTGTAGGTGAACTATAAATTCCAGCAACTACAACTCCCAAATGTCAAGATTCTATTTTCCCCAAACTCCAGCAGTGTTCACATTTGGCCACATTGAGTATTCATGTAGAGTTTGGTCCAGATCCATCATTGTTTGAGTCCACAGTGATCTCTGGATGTAGGTGAACTACAACTCCAAAACCTAAGGACACTGCCCACCAAGCCCTTCCAATATTTTCTGTTGGTCATGGGAGAACTGTGTGCCAAGTTTGGTTCAATTCCATCGTCGGTGGGGTTCAGAATGCTCTTTTGATTGTAGGTGAACTATAAATCCCAGCAACTACAACTCCCAAATGACAAAATCATTTTTTTGAGTGAAGGACATACATTGGGTTGTTAGGTGTCTTGTGTCCAAATTTGGTGTCAATACGTCCAGTTGTTTTTGAGTTGTGTTAATCTCACAAACGAACATTACATTGTTATTTATATATATAAAATATTTATAATTTAATATAATACTAATAATAGTGCAATATTATAATTATATATTTTATATTACATGTAATATTACCAAAATATTACAATATTATTGTATAGTATGAGGGTTGAATGAAAAGTAACGCCTCTACCTTCATAACTCCTCAACAGATGGAAGCACTGGGATGTGGCAGGTACTGGCTTGTTCAGTAGACTCTCCTCTACAGTTCCATTTTGGCGGGAAGCCTTAGCATTGAACGGTTGTGTTGTTAAAGTGTTAAGTATGGAACCCTGCGCAGACAGTCGGTCAATGCGACTTAAGCAACGTGCAGTCATTGAATTTTTGACAAGAGAAGTTATCACCCCAAAAGAGATTCATCAGAGACTGGATGGACTGGATGATCTTCCAACACTAGGATTCTATATGTATGTGAATATGATGTTGTGCGGGTACGGCCGTACCAGAAGCTCCAGCTTTATTTGCTTTGTATTAAATGTTTGCTTGAAGTCCAAGGCTTGGGATTCTGCAGAAGGGTGGCTTCCTGTTAAAGCTTAGTTATAGGGCAGGCCACCTGTCCATCATCATTAAGCTTTGGTTCCACCCCCTGTTCAGGCTCTGAGAGGGATAGGAACCATTTTGGTCAGTCTCAGCAAGGATAGCTAATGTACAGGACGTGTACAGGCTTCTCCTGTGCAAAAGTTTCAACCCTTAAGACTTTCCGGGGGAAACAGTCTTAAGAGCATCCAAAAATTCCCAAAGATTCCCACGGAAACAGCCCTAAAGCTCTGAGGAATTTCGGATGGAAAAACAGCTTTGAATATCAAAGAACTCCAGCTGAAGAGACAACAGGCCTTGCTGGTCAGTCCACTCGGTGCTTTGAGACGCAGTTCAAACCGGTAGTGGAGCACATATCAGTTAGGTCTAGGTTCACAGTCAGCCTGGGAGAAGTTAGAAAGGGATTTTCCTTTAAAGTAAAGTAACAGTTAGAAGCCACCAGTTGCACAAAAGCCTGGAAGCATTTGTTTAATCTTTTGAAGACAAGAGAAGTTTCTGTTTGATTGTTCCTCAATTAAAGACTTTGTTATATTTCACAAGCCCTCTAAAGACTGTTTGCGGTGGAAAATCCCTAAGAGCTTCTCTTCGGGGGCCCTGGCTTCCTGCTGGGCTCAAGCTGCACGTCCTGTTTTAAAGGCACTTCATTTCAAGCCCAGTGCGCAACAGAACAGATGTTATTTATAGATACCGGAGTGGTGGGCAAAGGTGCCTTTGGGGCTGGGGGCTGCAGGGTGCGCTTCCCGGTGTGTCCACTGGGAGGCGGCAAAGACCTTCTAGCGAGGAGATCTGCAAAGGACAACTAGCCGGAAGTTCGTCCTGCAAAAGCACACTTTCTGTGCTTTCCTCTGGTGCTTTAACTACGTGAAAGAACAGAGATACTCCACACCCAATAAGCGTGTAATTTTATTCCCCTTGGCTCTTGGCCGTGGTCCCGACAGTGGCCCCAGGGCAGGGCAGGGCTCTCTGCCCATGAGTTGGCTGGGCTTCCTTCCCTCCCCTGTGGGCTTCAAAGGCTAATATGTGGTCAGGAATCTGGAATGGGTCTCCGGGAAGCCAGGATGCACACCTGCCGATTCCAGAACTCCAGCTTGGTTTCAAGGGAAGTCGTTCCCATCGCCTTCAGGAGCCTGAGAAGAGAAGAAGGAAGACCTTAGGCAGCTCATAGAGTCCTCAAGATGCACCCCAAAGGCCATCCAGTCTGACCCCCTTTCTGCCATATAGGAAGGCACCACCCGATCCCTCCCGACAGAGAGACACCCAGCCTCTGCTTAATAATAATAATAATCCCCAAATCCCACCCAGTCTGGCCCCTTTCTTCCCTAAAGGACGGCACCATCTGATCCCTCCCAACAGAGGGCCATCCAGCCTCTCCTTAATAC